CTATGAACACTTATCATTATAAAGTGTTACATTACACACTAAATCGCAATTTGTCTCATATTATGAAAACAAACATTTAAAGTCGCTATTATAAAATAACAGTATTTATTAGAGATTACACATGTATGTGTATACACTATGTTGTGTTTGTATGATGTTTCTTAAATTACATAAGATTAGGCGTATGAATTTATTTATTTATAGATACGTAATAAACAGATGCTAAAACTGTATCGTTGATTTAAAATCACGGGAAACAATTTTTTTTTTGGTATATCTATCTCACAGTTTGACATTTTTGCTACTAACTTACTACTTGCTTTTTTACATTAATCCCCTAAGTGGTTTCAATTACCGAGATTCGATTAACAGTTACGACTGTTTGTGATAAGTGAAGATTAGTTGAAGTTTATACGTTTTAGATATCGATAATTAGTTGAAGACAATGCACGGAATCACGAATTGTCTTAATAAGCTGAAAAAAAGTTCTCGTGAATCAACACCTACGACAAATAAAGAGAGCGATGAAAACAGATCTATATCACCAAGCGATGGGAGCCCCCGAGTATCTCTGCGAAATAACGAACCTTCGAAAAGGGTACCTATTGCCCAAAGGAGGAATAGTGGCCAACGCAGCTTGGGACACTCACCGCAAGGATTAGCAGGAAGTCCACCATGGCAAGAAGAGGCTCGGGGTTTACCTATTTACTTTCGACGTCATTCGTTATCTCGGACCCAGAGTCCTCCCCGCGTCGATTTTCCTGGCCCTAGTTCAGCACCGAAACATGATTACAGGCATTTCGTTTCGCCACTTTATAATGATGTGATGGATGATATTCAAGAAAATGATTACAACAAATGTGAGTTGTATGGAGAAATTAGTACTGACAAACTTGACCATCGTCCTTATGCGGACCGATTTGATAATAAAGATTTTGCTCTAAAGTTGGTCGAGTGCTCGAAATCTCCTAAAAGTAACTATGGAATGCGCGAGAGGCGTGAATCTGGGGGCAGCACTCATAAGCACAAACACCAGTCTATACAGGATTTGATCCGGTCATTTGGTAAGAAAATGGGAAGTTGGAGGCACGAAACTTCTGGAAGACGCAGCTCTTGCGCGGTGCCAACCGCAACTGTAGATGTCCCTCGTAAAGAAGACATCCGCGGTAGATCCAAATCGCTCGATCCCGATCACTTGCATAGTATCATACGTCATCCTATACTTGATGATTGCGGTGAAACGTATCGAATTTTTGACGCCATCATCCAACAAGGTAATTTAGTTTTATTATAGATTTGGATCTAATTTTTTTTCGGGAATTTTTTTTAAGTTATCCGCACTGTCGCAACAAGTTTAATATTTTTAAAGAAAATGTATATTAAATGAATTGGAAGAGAAAGACGAAAGAATATTTTTCTTTTATATAGCACTTGTTCACGACTGTTCAGTAATAAATAACATCCTACTCTTTGTTATTACATTAAACTGAGGTCATATTTGTTATATTACGCTTGTTGTAAGGTTACACTTAAATATACTTCAAATAAATTATACAAATGCATTTACAAACTTAATTTTCTTAAATAGACCGATTGTAGTACACGTACCTTCCATTATTCTAGGTGTAATTTTGAATTGAAAAAAACACTTCGGACTAATTATATCTATCGATTATAATATAGTTGTTAGGTTATTTGATACAAGTTTTATCAGTAGTACGTCAGATTCTATTTCTGACTATCACCGAAATTTCACATTACTAGCGTTTCTTCTTTGATATCTTCGTGGTTTTTTCTATACCATCATTTAGTTCCAATTACGCAAGTAACATTGGAACTAGTAATAATATCTCTTCTTCAACATGATTACCACCAATATTGAAACTAGAACTGAAACTTCTTTCTAATAGAAAAAAAAAATTAAAGATGTTTTTTACTTTATTAAGTTTGATCTTCTTTGCTTCACATGATCCGTAATTATCAGCCTGTAATTTGTAACAAGAATTTCTTTAGTTATTTTACCCAACGGTGCGCCATTGTTCTGCAAAAAATTCTAAGAAAACCTTTCTTTATTTTTCTCGAGCGACTTTAGCAAATTTTACTTTTTTATAAAATATTATTGTATTACACTTTTCTTTCTAATTATACATTGAGTATTTTTTGAATAAAAAAGAAAATATATTTTCGCCATTTCAGTGAGGCTGATGGTGGTGGTTAGCGTTGCTAAGTATTCGAATTAATTAATAATATTAATAGGCAAAAGGTATTATTTCTAACCAGCAATGTTCTGCACATTTTCGAAATGCGAACACATTACGAAGCCATTCTATAAATCTAAGCGAATACACTTTGCCCATAGCCTTCGCCCCTCTGACCATATCTATGGAGTTCAATGTAACTACCTAACCTAATCTACGTCTTTATTGTTGTAGTTTTGATATATCAACCTGCAGGCAGTGAGCATTGTCATTGTCACTATAATATTGTCGCATATTATCAAACGAATTGAACATAAATTGCAGCACGTCACGATCGCATAACTGTATTGTGTTTTATTAGTCCGAAAGTCCATTCGTATTAACATTGCCTTTGCGATGTCAGAATGTCATAAGTTGTTTCGTGCAGAAAGATTTTCTGTTGGTGATAGTAAATATTATCTAGATAATTGCAAATTATTATTTTAAATTAGTATATCTTTATTAACTTTACGGTTGTAAGAATGGACTTGAAAAACTAAACTAACTACTATTAAACTTTCTGTACCGTATATCAGGGAATATTATATTTCAACTTTGCTAAAATAGTTCATTTTTAAAGAATTTTTCTGAATTTTATAAACGAATTAAAAATATTTTAGATATTAAATTTACTAGCTCCAAGTTATCAGTCACTATTTGGAAAATAACAGTTTTAAAATCCATTAGTTTTCAATCTGTGTATGAAATAACTGTAAACAAAAGGTACAAGCTTCATTTACATTTTGATTTAATCCCGCGCAATACGTGCCGTGCTCGGTGCAATATCGGATCGTCGCAAATTGGAGGAAAAATATCGGATATTTTACATCAGGTCTTGTTCAACCAATTCTGTACCGCGTTGCATTTACATATCAAAGACCAACTTTATTTAATAAAACTCAATTAAATATTTATTTATTTTGTAAAGACTTCGTAGCGTATAGCGTATATAAAGTTTAGAGTATAGTTAGGCAAGTTTACCTGGCCTGGAGTTATTGTTGCTGTTCCAAACTCGAACCTGTATAAAACTTATTGTAATACCTCGTTCTTTTTTAGAAAACTTTGGTAACGATATGTTTTTGAACGTGAGTTTTGGCAGTGGAAACCCACGATTAAATATACGAGACCATGTACTAATATGATTTGCAAAGACAAGTAGAAAATGATCAGCGTGTGTACTCATTTAAATATAACCTTGAATATAATTGTTTATTTTTGCCATTACAATTACCTTGTTATCTTCTTATATTATATTTTGTTTATTCCTAACGATAATCTCTTGGAAATATTTATCGTAAGTATATGAATCATTTTTAATCTGCCTCAAAAATCTTCTTTCCATTCCACCAATCCTATCTTATATTACTCTTAAATCTGAATAAATATAAACGATCCGTATGGGATTTTGTTTCAAAGATATTTCAACTTATACTAATAGAATGATATTATCGGTTGTGTTCTTGAGACCGTACGGTGCTAATTAACAACATTCTAATTGTTTTATGGTCTGCTATTTAAAACCAGATTCACTAAGACGGGCGCGCGTTTAGTGCTAAATTGAAAAATTGAATTAACCTAATTAGGTGTAAGATCATTTGAGCAATGGTAATTAACGTTCCAGCTAATCGCTTAAATGACTTTTTTTATTATTTGTTGTAATTTTTTTAATAAAGCGTTAAAGTATTATAATTTGACATACAAAAAAAACTCAATTGATATTTTAAATTAATACGTAATAAGTTACATTCAATAATGTTTGTTCAAATTATTTCCAGCTTGTGGATTTCCATCATGACGATTAATATTGTTCATTCGAATTCGACCTACTTGAATGCGAAAATAACAGAACAAATGTTCCAATATCTCTACACCTTTTGAGCTTTCAAAGTTTAACAGAGTAGAACACTTATAGTGTATATTGCCCTATATTATTATTTAAATGTTTGCTTGTAAATTTATTACTTGCCCTTCCCTTACCTTGTTTTCTGACCATGAATACGTTATTGACGGAATCATGCATACTTATTTTTGTAACCGATGGTTTATGTTTTCTGGAGCTTCGTGAATATTATGTTCTTTCGTTCCTTTAATTCGAACGTTTATCACCATTCACATGATATTATCTCGATAAACAGCCGATTAATATTATTTCAATTGCAAAGTTGGCAATAAACACTCATAATTTTCGTCTAATTCAGCCTCCACGTTAAGCTTATTTGGGGATTGCTAAACGCAAACAATGACTGTCGTCAGATAAGTTGCAAGTAGCTTATTCAGAACCTTACTTGGACATTGTGAAACATGCCCTAATAAATCTTTTTCACTACAGAGGGTCGGCTTGTCTGTCAAATGTCTATCAAATGTCATATCTGAATTCTTTTCCTATAAACCCACTTTCACGCAATTTATCTATACTTCCTCTACCTTCGTAATCATCCACATACGATCTCATAAATTACTTGTTAATGTGCTCATCAGTACTTTAACAGTAACATGTACATATTTGTTCAGCTGAATGTAAGTAATGCGGTATGCTTTA